TAAATAAACACCTCTGTTTCACCAGGATGGGTAAGTTAACACCCATATGAATAGCCTCTTCTCTCACTCTCCGGCTAGCCTTGCCTTACCTGATATTTTTATTACAGTAGCATGAATATTGAAATCAATAAGAGCTTTCAGGAAAGATCCCAGACTCTCCTGGAATGTGGTTTCTCCAAACAGCCTCAACTGAGGTCATAAGCAGGCAGAAACAGCCAACTGCTGCTCTCTATTACTAACAAAGTTGTGATAGAAGTAAAACAAAAGGAAACTTGGGGGGAGAGGGAAATCCTTCATCCATTTGTCACTGAAACCATGAATAACTAATGCAGTCTATTTCCTTCTTGCTGATTTAGAAAGCCACAATGGAATTTTTACTAACACTACGCAAAGATGTTTATTCTGGTGGTAAAACTTGCTAAATCAGAAAGTCTTTCAGAGGGCTAGACTAGTAAAGAGTTGTAGTTAACTGAAATTCATAGGTATTATTTAACTTCAAACAACCAAATGTTTTTCTGGGGTTTTTTTTCCAAATTTTCTTCTAAGTTTAATCTACACATTGTTAAATATTAATCAACCCAATTATTTTTCTTATCTTCAGAATTATAGATCTGTGTCTTTTATAATAATTTATGACATGATGCATGAGACACAAAACAGGCTGATCTGGTGTTAAGATGTTACTTTAATTAAATAAGCTTTAAAAAAAAAACCCTAGGATAAAAATAAGCAAAGAAAGAAATTATTTACCCAGTGTACTCAGTTAGTCTTCTGAAGTAATAGGTTGTCCTGTGATGTCCTGTAGCAAAGCCAGTATGGTATACAGCATAATGTCTACTGAAACAAGTAAACATCCAGAAAATAAAACCTTATTGGCAGAGAGAAAAGTTAATGAATGCAAGAGCACTAACCTGGGATTTTTGTTTTCCGTGGAGAATGATGTACTCACGTGCCAAAGGGCATCTGGAAGGAGCTGATCCAGCAGGTCAAGAGTCTTGTCACTAGAGCTGAGGCACCAGATGTGAGAGGGTGGTGGCCCCTCTTTTTGCCCGTTGAATGTATAATCTACTGTGCAGGAACCGGCTGCTCAAGCATGATTAGCTGAGCTGACCATAACCACAGATGCCTGTTTTAAGCATATTAAACACAGATGCCTGTTTTAAGCGATATTAACCACGAGTGCCTTTTTAAGTAATATTATAGAACATAGGTTAAATAAGCCAAAGGGATACGAGCGAGGAAGACGACGAGCCTTCATCGAACGACCACCAGGAGACGGATGAAGACCCCCTAGCAACAAGGAGAACATGCGCAGATTCACCGGAAGGATGACTTGAAACCCAGAAAAGAAGCTGCTCAAAAGGGGGAATGGACTCAGGCTCGAGTGCGGCAGTTGGTGGAGCGGTGACTCCCCTGTCACCCAGCGCTGTGCTTTGCTTCTTTTATCCTCTATTAAACATTTTATTGATTGGCATTATGACCCATTGTGTTCATTTCATAACACCAGATAACAGCAGTTCATCAGACTGCACCACTAATCCACACAGGAAAGTAAAATATTTGAATCCAAGCACAGGTATCCCTCCAATACGCCTGAGCAGCCCAACTAGAAAAGAAGCAGGAGCATAGAATCGTGTTGCACGTTCCATTCTGTAACCCACGGTGACCAAAAGGAATAATAAAAACAACACAAATCTTTCTTTTATAAGCCAGTGCTCTTCCTGCTTCTTCATTTTAAAGTAACATCTTGTATAAACATGCTTTTTGTGATAGATTGAGACAGCTATACATTTAATGTTCACACAGAAATGGCTGTGCTTTTTGAAAACCCTATTCAAAGCAGGTTTAGGACAAATTCTTTGAATAAACAGCTTTCAAGATGTTTTATCCATGAAGGATGAGAGTTCTCTAAGTCTGCCTGCCTGAAAAGATTGCACAATTCCAGCTGCCTGCAGTGTGTGGTTACGTACATTATAATGTAGCAAGAAGCTTTTTGGCAACAAGATCGTTTTGCAGGGATGTTTTTCCTTGTTGGACAAACAGAGGCTGAGCACCATGTTCCTTACTCAGGGCCTCTGTCTTCTTAAAGTCTTTTTCTTCTGCCAGGGCAATGTTCACAAACTATAGCCTAAAGCCTAGAATGTATATTTTCAATAATGCGTAATTACTTTCACTCTGAAATTTGAATTTCAGTTTGTCCCATTTCTGATTTGGGGCACTAAACTAGTTTTCTGATTGTGTGTTATACTGAGGGACTTTGCTATTAGACCACCTTTATATTGTCCATTTATCCTGCTCCTGAGCTAGCCTCAGCCCTTTGTTTCAAGTCTGTAGAAGCTGCATGTTGGAACATGACACTGAGTCTTTTCTTCATTAATGTCTCCCATATTTCTATTGGTCTGACCCTTATGGTTACACACTACTGGACATTTGCCATCAATTTACAGGAACAGCACATAAATCAAAATTGAGCAATCATAAAGCATGCACTGTGCACAAAAAGGATTTTTCCTGAAGATTTATTCTGTAAACAAAAAATCTAGTTCCTTTGCCAAGGAAGATTTCATTTAATCTTGTATTTTAAGTTAGCAAGATAGATAATGTAAAGAAGTGAAAACGAATGTCTTTGCAACAAGTTTTTCTTACTCAGTTTTACAGTATTTCAGGATTTGATAAAAATGTTTGCAGTGAAGCTTCTCCTGTACCAACTTACTGTTCGCAGTAATTCTTCCGTGTGTCTTAGTTACACATAAACACACATTTCCTGATTGAACAGCAAAATAAGGCATGCTTGCCTGAATTAACCCGTGGCATTTTCTGGTTTCTTGTCCACACTTCCATTACTGCTTAGGAAAGCCTTTCATACTCTGCACTGGGAACAAGGCTACTTCAGTTATTTCCTGAGCTCTCTTCATTCATACCATTGCTCAGCTGCAGCAAACAGCTCAGAGGTGCCCCTGCCAAGTCCTCTGCTTCCTCCAGTTCCATAACGCTGCTCTCTGTGCCTCAGCCAGCACAGGGCCCTGCAATCCTCATCCACAACAGATGCCCTTACACTGAACCCTGATTGAAAACACGCTGCCAAACACCCTCTACCATTAGCTGCAAGACTCTGAATGACAAAGGCCACCATTTGTGTCATCTTGGTAAAATCAGATCTTTACTTTGCCATGAAGTTGATGCAGGAGAGAACGTAGCTCACAGACCAACAAACTTCTTCCAACCATGTTAACTTCAGGTATGGGAGCAGAACACAAGGAGCGCAGTCACTACCAAGTGACAAGGTGCTAAAATACCATGCAAAATCTATTGCAAACAAACACTAAATAATATGTGTAGTCTTATGTTTCTATTTTCCCCCTGTGTACATACAAAAAGACATTTCTATGTGCACATTTTGAAAGGCTTTCAGTGTGCTGTTACAACTCAGAGAAAAGTTTTTACTGTCAGTCTGAAACATCAGCAGCTTTTCCCCTTGGAGTGAAACAACAGGAAAATCTGTTAGGAAGTGCAATGAAAAAATGACGAATGTACAAAATACTGTTAAAACAACTGTAAAACAACAGAAGTGTCAGATTGTGGCTTATACTGACTCTAAGTCTGTCACCTCCATAAACCCTTCACTCTGAGTGGCCAAGCACACAACCTCCACCTGTCTTCCCCCATGCTGACCCCAAATCATTCTCCTTATGCCCTTGTCTGTATCTCTCAAGACCCAACTGTGGCTGCCCCCTCCTCCTCCCTTTCAAGGAAATTTGTGTGTTTCTAACACGTTGGAGAGGGCTGGTTGATGTTGCCCAGAGTGGTAATGTCTGATGCCCTGGAAACATTCGAGGTCACACTGGCTAGGGCTCTAAGGAACCAGAGCCAGTTGAAGATGTCCCTGACCATGGCAGAAGGGCGGGACAAGCTGACCATTAGCAGTCCCTTCTAACCTGAACTATTCCATGATTGTACTCCATCATGGAGTCCAAGGAGAGAGGAGGGAGATTGGCCTGAGTTTTTATACTGAACAGCCTCAGGGTTTCCTTTGAGGGCTTTGGCTGGAATGCTCAGCGCAGTCCCTTCTAACCTGAACTATTCCATGATTGTACTCCATCATGGAGAGAGGCTCAGGGTCCAAGGAAAGAGGAGGGAGACTGGCCTGAGTTTTTGTACTGAACAGCCTCAGGGTTTCCTTGGAGGGCTTTGGCTGGAATGCTCAGTACCTTACACACGTGGGCTTATTCAGAACTGGGGGTAGAAAATTACTTTTTCTGCAGCTGTACCCCCTCAGGGTGATAGCACACAAAGAGGAGCAGCCCACAGTGATTGCAGCAGTGTGACAGCACCATTCCTGAATGTGACTCCATAGGGCCACATTTATCACTGTAATTAAGGCAAACCAAGCTAGTTCTGTACTGAGTAGCAGGAGTCAGCAGGGAGACTTTGAAAGCTGCAGGATGCTCTTTTCCCTCACGTAGCTGTCTTACAGTGGGTCCTCAGGAAAGTTCCTTATACATATGAAGAATTCTGGATACACATTGAAGAAATGTTACTTTACCACCTTGCAAGATACAAATCTTATTTTAAGCACCAATAATAATGAAAAATGTGGCTTAAAATGTGCAGTGAAACACACAGTTTTGGCACCAGCTTTTCTCAGACCTCTCCCTCCTAGACATCATTAGGTCTGCTCTAGGAAAAGCACAGCCATTTATTGCACCATAGTCCTGGTTTCAGCTATCTAACTTTAATTTTACAGCTTCCAGAGGCAAGCAGGATAAAAGGCAAATACCCAGTTTACGTCAAAAACTTTCTTTATTAAAAACAATTTTAAACCTCTCCTATCCAATAAACTGTACATTGCATTCTTGTGATTCAGTTCACAAAATCATAAAGATATTGACAAAAGTAAGCTGTTGGCAACCAGTAATGACACTGAAACTTGAATCATTGAAATGGGGAAGATGTCACATCTCCATCGGTTTTGAAACCGCCATCACTTAGGATTTTTCATGTATCTGCTCTTTTTATACGGTAATTTAGGTATATTTTACCATTCTTGTATGTGGAGTTTGGATTTTCCCAAATTTCAGATAGCCTGAGCAGAAATTGTTAATTATTTATTAGTGCCTGCAAAAACAATCTGCCTATGCTGCATTCTGACAAATTAGGACAAATAATTTTTTTACTAGTTTTGAAGTCACCTAGATGAAGTCACAAAGGTCTTGTGAAATGAACTGAAAAAAAACATCACATACCTTTTCCTCTGAGGTGGCCGCACTTGTGCCTCAACATGTCACCATCCTTCAGACAAAAAGGACAGCAGAGATGTGATCTGGAGAATGTTAAGGCAGGTGATAGCAGAAGAGACCCCTGCACATTGCTTCCGGCGTGGCAAGGCAGGACATGATTGATCTTTGTAGAGACCCAACTACTTATGCAGTTCATTATGTAAATACCAAAAATAAAATTGAGTTAGAAGTTTGATCTAGCAACATGACATGAGAAATATTTATGGCAGATGACAACGGTAAGGGGTGGTAGGATAGCACTTGACAAAGGCAAGGCAGATGACCAAGGAAACGTTAAAGAAGTATTAAGTGAGGATGCCCTTATGGAAGTTCTTCCTGGATCTCATCCTACTATGATTTCAAGAATAGCTGAAGTGGTTATAACCACACAATGTAAAATGCTATAGCTGCAGCCTTTCTCCTATATCACTTCTGAGCAGAACAAAGATGACAAGCCCAACGTCCTCCTTCCCCTTGGGCTCCTTTTTGGACTACAATTCTTCTTATGCTGTGGTCTGAGGTGCTTGCTCTGGCAACGAAATGGGAAAAAAAAACCAAACCAAACCAAACCAATAAAAAATCCTGCAAAAATGAAATACAATCTTCCTTCCACCTACCACTCCTCTCCTGTGTGCACACCAGCATGGTTTAAGGAAGGAAGTTATTATACACACAGCAGAATAGCCCTAGAAAAGAGCACCTAGATTTTTTTTTCCCTCCTCTGTGAGAAAGAGCAGATGGAACAGGAAAAACAAACAGGCCATGTTAAGATTAAGATTAGCTGTCTCAGTCCTGTGAAATGAAAGGAAAGGATGTGTATAAACAGCAAATATGTAAAATGATGAACTTTTAATGCTTTTCTTTGTCATGTATAAACAAAATACTTTTACAAAATGAGTCAGCAACCATCAATTGTTTGGCTTTATGACTACACTCCAAATTATTAATTGGTCACTGACCAAATGCAGGCTAGAAGAACTCAGGGTCGTTTCTGATACTCAACAAAGGCACAGTAAAGACAAAGCTGCACATAAATAAAATACTATATAGAAACAAGAATCATGTTTTAAGAAATATTCACATGGTTTAATAAAGGAAGAACAAATTTAAAAATGCAGTCTTTGAGAATTAGATACAATATCTGGATAAGGCTGAAGTCCTAGCTGTTTGTTATCTTTCAACTTCTGCACTATAATTCTGGCAAATTCCTCTCCTTGGCTGTCTGAAGTATCAAGCAATTGTCGTACTTTTGATGTCCTTGTAGGTTTGGTGCTTATAAGTTCATAATCTTCTTTCATGAGTAAAAATCTTGATAGAAGAGCATCCAGTGATTGATTCAAACATGCTTCAGTCATCTGATCAATAATTTCTTCTCTTTTACTTTGGATCCACTGATGAGCTACATTCTTTTGTATGGTTTCCAATATAAAATCTGAGATTGGAAAGGATTAGAAAAAAGGAAGGGATTGTAACTGTCAACAAATATTGCCACAGAACAAAGAACAAGCAGAAAAAAAACCTGTTAAAATGTTCCAATTTGACAAATTTAGTGGTTAGAGTATTTATTCTATCTGAATCACAGAATAATTTAAGTTAGAAGGGACCCTCAAGGAGGTGATCTGATGTAATGGCCTGCTCAAAGCTGGGCCAATTTCAAGGATAACTCAGGTTGCTCAGGACCTTGTCCAGCTGAATTTTGAGCATCTCCAAGTGATGGTACTTCTGCAGCCTCCATGGGCAACCTGTTCCAGTGTTCAACCCGACCTGGTACTAAAAAGAAACAGGTGGTAAATTCACTTTCCAGGGGGATTTTAATTGAAGATTACTGAAAACATCCCTGTAGTTTCCTGGTATTTTTCTCAAAGTGAGGTTTCACAGAGTGAAAGGGTGTTGATTCTCATATTTCCAGAAGAGGGTTAAAGTAATAGATTTTTATAAAGTTGCATGTTATTGTGATGATCCTCAAAAAAATATATCTGAATAATTAATCATTAAAGTTTCTTTTTGTTAACTTTTGTGTTAACTTTTAACAGCTATTTGATGCACAAGAATATAATGTAGTGGGCTCCCAGCTAACACAGAGGATCATTACAGGTGAGATGCTGACACAGTTGCTGCTTCTCTCAGCCCCACCATTACTAAATGGAAGACTGGGAAGCCTAAAAAGTGAGAAGTGACAGGCAGCAAGTTTGAGCTAAGTTCTCCTCCTGTTCTCCTGGACTGTAGCACTCCTACAGCAGTAGGAAATAGTAGAAACACTATGAGCAAAGGGAATGGGATAAGGCCCATGGCAGCAGGAATCTGATTAGGAGCAGAGAAAAAAAGGTAGTAGCTATAGATAGATACCTGCACTTGGCCACATTTTACACGTTTTTCTTAATTTGTAATATAAGTCTACAAGGACAGAATTAATTTTGCATTCTTAATTTGCAGATATTCTGTTTTCATTTTGCAGGTGAACAACAGTTCCAGTTTCCATTTCATACAGACATACATTCAATGTTAGAACATTTATTGTGGGTCTTGGAATCAAATTGCTGTACCTGAAGGAATTGGCGATGACTGCAGCACACGGGATGCAGAACTTGAGGCATCTGAAATACTCCTGGCAGATGAGAGACCAGCACTGTATGGATGCACAAGGAGTTTGGCACTTTGAGTTACAGACAGATTTTCATCCATGCTCTGGCTGCTAAGAGAGTGTAGACACCCAGAATTTCCATCTTAGACAAAAAAAAAAAGGAGACAAAAAAGAAAAAGAACAAGCTGTATTACTTCTGCAGACAAATAAAATACACCCATTAGAGACTATTTAGAGCAATTTCACAAAAGAAGTAAAAAACCAACTACTTTTACATGATATACAACAAATTAGTTCTTGTATTCAAATTCTGAGTACGTTTATGTCCCTCATATTTTACCAGGGCCTGACTATGGTTTGGGGTCCTGCTTTATTTTAAAGAAATATTGGGAGCATAAATCTGGTAGATGTGAACTTCAACGAAAAAGCTCTGTTTGAGGGAAAATTTTTTGTAGGGACTAGAAGAACAAAATAAATCCTTTGAGTATTTGGAGAAGTAACTAAAAGTCAGCAGGAAAGCAGACTAATTTATTTTGATGAAGTTTGGCAGTGTAACAAAGATGAAAATATAAAGATTCAGATGGGGGAAAAGGACATGAAGAGCAGTGGGAGAAGTTAACATTCAGAAGGAAGCCAATAGAAGCTTTTTGTAGTCCATCAAAACAGGATATGACTTCAGGAGAGCTTCAAGTAAACTTTTGTAAAAAAAAGTAAAAAGGATTTCTACCGGGGGGGAAGTTTAACAGTTTCTAGCTTTAGAATTTTTTTTTATAGTAGAAATGGTGACACATATGAAAGCAGCAGTAGAAATAACACAAGAAAGAGATAACAAAGAGCTGGTGAGACAAAAAAAATACAGGACCTGTCCCTAACTCTGCAAATAGCTTTGATTAGACTTTCACAGTGTCACTTGATAAAGACACAATAACTAAGATGGTAACTAAGAACCAGAGATGCAAGAATTCAGATGAGCATCTAAAGACACAATGAGGTAGCCCCATGGACAACTTGAGATTACCTGTCCAATGGGGAAATCTGAAGTTGTATTCCCAGCTCTTTCTTGACCTGTAGAAGAATATGTCTGTAAGTACACAGAGCAGGAATAGGAAAATGTGGAAGAAACTCCATTCTCAGTATTTTAAAATGGTGGACTAGAACTCATAGTAACTACTTTTTTATTTCATGATCAAGGGAGAAAGTTGGGCAGAGCTATGTACTGTGAAACAGCAGATATTATCTACTGCATGAAAAAGGGTAATAGGAGACAACCACTGTGAGTGAAAAATCATTGCAGGAAAGTATTTCAAGCAGCTGTGCTGGGATAGATTGTTATACATTTTTAGGCACACAAATTTAATTTCATAACATAAAGACAAGACTACTGGGATTGTACTGGTATGAGAGAATACCAGTACACGATATACAACAAGTTAGTAGGAGAGAATATCTGGACCAGTGAGCACAACATAAGAAAATACAATCATAAAATCAACAATTCTTTCCGTTGGAAAGACCCTTGAGATCACTGAAGTCCACCACTGCCCCATGTCCTGAATGCCACATCTACACATCCTTTAAATACCTCCAGGGCTGGTGACTCAACCACTTCCCTGGGCAGCCTTTTCCAATGCCTTACAACTCTTTCCATAAAGAAATTTTTTCTAACATCCAATGTAAACCTCCCCTGGCACAACTCAGGGCCATTTCCTCTTATCCTACTGTTTGCTGCTATTCCTTGTCAGTTAAGAGGCTCCCACCAGGCCATAACCTCCTCTCAGGTAGTTGCAGAGAGCCAAGGAGAAAATTTTCCTCTTTGAGCCTCCTTTTCTCCATGCTAAACAACCCCAGTTCCCTCAAAAAAAATGCTATTGAGAGTTATTCAGATGTTAATTCAGAAAAGAACAGATTGACTCAAGTTACTCAAAAAGAACCTAGGTGACCTAGAAGAATGGAGTAACAGAAATATAAAAAGAAGGAAAAATATGAGATCTAGATTTTCTGTTTCAAGCTGGGGCTAATGATAAGAAATGAGATGAGGAATAAAAACAACTTCTAAGTAGATTATTCTGTAATGAAGGACCTTGTGAGAAAGGAAAAATAAAATTCTAAGGTACAGTAAGTAAGGGGGATTTTGTAGACAAAAAAAGTTTGTCATCTCTCATAATACTGTGTTGCCTTAGTTCACTGATTTAAGTTAGAACATGCACCAGGAGGACTAGTTAGGATACTATGAGAATAAAGAAGTTTATTTTACAATGGGATTTCAAAAGAGTGCATCCTGTTCATCTAGCAAAACAAAGTATATTAAAGGATTACTCCGTATCAGAAATGAAATGGGAAGAGGGAAAAGAGCTGTTATAGGAAATACCCAAGAAAAGCTCACTAGGGAAGGGAAAAAAAAATAAAGATGAAAAGAAAGGCTAAAGCTAGAAGACAAATCTTAACTCTCAAGAAGCAATTTTCTGAAAAAGTATTCTGATTGTACTGATGGAAAAAACAAGAATCTATAGTCATTAACTCAGCTAGACTCTGTAGTCATTAACTTCTGCTTTTGTGCTATGCCAAACTCCTCTTTTGCTAACAGTTACCTGGAAGAGAATTTTCACCTGAAACAATTGCATGTGAGTCTGAAAAGCAAGATGAATGTCAGTCTTGCTTCCCACTACAACATAACCTGATTCAGCTACTGGCAAAGTAAGAACGAAATCTTCTGCAGCAGAGTTTTGTAGGCACTGTTTTCCCAAGCTTTACAGTATCTATACATAAACTCAATAAAATCTGAGCAATGACTCTATAAAACAACCACCAGCTGACCAATCAGATTAACTGTACCAATAAATTTTCATTGATACCCTCCACAAGCAGACACAACAATTCACAACAGAAACCAGCAGCAAGAAAGGCTGATATTTCTCATTATCTTATGTGATAAGACTTTAGAGTCCATGCTCATGCTCAAACTAATACTCCATGTTCTAAAATTCATCACAACACACTTATTAAGCTAGGTAAATATGAGTTATTCTTCATGTTTGAGGTTTTTATGCTGTATAGATAAATACTTCAGTTGAGGTACAGCCGAAGTACCCCACACTTGCTTTCTGCCATTTTCCCCCAGTAACTGGAAGTCCTTAAGCCTCCAGTAATTTATTTACCCAAGTTCCTCCTGTATTTATACCTTTCTAGTACACTTGAGTAGAAGTTCAAAAATGTGTATGTCTTCAAACAGGAGCTGAAACAGGAACTGCCTGTGCTCTTCTACCAGAGTATCTCTGGTTTTGCAGCCCCTCAGAATACTTTTTGATGTCATTTTTTTTAGCAGTGAAGTCAATAGTCTTGTTTGCTTTCATACTCCCGGTCCCTGCAATGCCAGAGAACACTCTATTCTTTTGACATATGTTTACATTCTGTCAAGGGAAGAAACTTAAATGCAGTTTTAGTTTCACAATGTCTTGCTATTCCACCTAGGTTCCATTGTATGTTTCTGGCTTCTGATGTCAGCAAAACTTCAAAATTGAGTTTTCTCAGGGAACTTTTATTCACAAAAGGGGACATCTACAAAAGGTCTGTGCAGATACTTTTGCAAAGCAGTCTATTAAAGACTTTTACTTACTGAATTAAAAATTATCTAGAAACTTGCACTGGAAACTTTGAGTTTACTCAGCTTCTAGAATGCCTTAAAATATGTAGCCTTTTTTATATTCAGAAGTGGTTAAAACAAAAAAAACCCAAAAAACAGACAAAACCAAAACCAACCAACCAAGCAAACAAATCCAGTTAACTAAACTGACAAGAGTCTGGAGGGGCAAGAAAATGTTAGCTCTGCACTCACAACTTTGAAGAGGAAAACTGAACCTGTGAGCTGCAAAGACTCCTCAGGTGATAGGAACAGAAAATCAGACCTTAAAAAGGCTAGGTTTTTTTACGCAGATAACGAGGTTCACAAAAGACATTTTTTCCTGACATAAAGAAACCCAATTTTCTACTACACAAATGCAATGTCACAGTGTGAATGTAAAGCTGCAATGGCAACTTAAATTTACACAAAGTCAAGAGTATCTCACCTGATGAGAGGATATTACACTGGGAAATAGACTTGAATTTTGATGTATCTGGAGGGATGCTCCGAAGGCTAAGTGCATCACACTCTATGGAGCTATAGTATGTTGGCTGAAAGAAATCCAGGTGTATATTGAACAGGCACATTAAAAAAATATGAAGTTCTAATGTTTTTACAAAGAACCTTCCCATCACCATGTTTTCCCTGCTATCTAAATGCTCAATAGACAGCACAATTAAAATACAGTAAATCAGAAGAAAGTATGTAATCCCAATACTTATGGATTTTCAAAGATGACAGCAATTTTGTATACAAGTTTAACTACTAGTAATAACTAAAAGCAGCAGCATTAAGGATCAAAATATAAATGCAAATCTATATTACCCTATACAGGCAAGCTCCATAGAGGTGTAAGGGAGCAGTAGACAATCTCTTACTATTGGCAGGCATTGTGTGCTGCATTCCTCCTTGAGGGCATCACAGACTCACAGAATATGTGGAGTGGAAAGAGACCCACAAGGATCACCAAGTCCATCTGCTGGCCCTACACAGGATGACCCCAAGAATCATTTGCCCAAGAGCATTGTGCAAACACTTAAACTCTGCCGGGCTTGGTGCTGTAACCAATTCCCTGGGGAGCCAGTTCCAGTGCCTGACCACCCTCTGGGTGAAAAACCTTTTCCTGATATCCAACCTAAAGCTCCCCTGGACAGCTTCATGCCATATTTAGAGCTTTCCCATATTTAGATGCTCTTCTAATTTCTGCATACTCACCCTCTTCTATCTTCACATATATGGCTTTTCATTTGTTACACCCTGGCTCAAGTAATGCATTTTATGCCTTTCCTGACTGCACAAGAAGTAAAGTGCAGAACAGCTCCCCTTACCAAGTTAAACTTCCTTTAATCTCTGAGGATGTTGACATACCAAATGCAACATATGAAGTATTTACCTTTTCGGGATTCAGAGGTATATTTAGAGGTATCTGCTCCACATTTGCTTTCTTTCCACTCTTGTAAATACTTTGTGATTCATACAGTGACTGGAAGAGAAATATTTACCTGTATTAAATTTCTGCTATAAGACAAATGACTACCCCACAAATGCATGTTTCAACCAGACAGAAGTTTAGACAAAGGAAACTGAGGAGAAATGACTAAGGAGATTACACTTCTTTTAGCAAGTGAAAGTTACCACTTACTTGACCAGCTCATGACTGTGACAAAAGCCACTTACCTTTGATCTCTTTAAGAGAAGTACTGCTTCCAGCATAGCTATTTCATCAAATGTTCTCAGAACTGGCTCCAGGTCTATTAAACATTCTGAACAAAGGAAGAGTACTTGGTGAATGGTTTGAAGTGGAAATCAAGTTGTCACTGTATTAAAGTGTCTTTCTTACATTTACAAAAATAATTTTTTTATTGACATGTATCAAATCACTTATGCTGCTAAAACAGAAGCTGCTTGCTTCTCTTAGAACAGTTCACACCACCAAAAGAAATGTGTACCAGAAGAGATCCAGGATAATGCTGGACCAGGATAATGCAAGTCTCATACTCATGGAATGGAGAGATTGGTGAGTTTGCTGTGTTTTAATGTAGCCCCATCAAGCATGATTAGCTGAATAGGACCCAAACACCATAAGACCTCAGAGTGGGCTGCTGTCTTCTCACTCCAGAAGAGGTGTTAAAAATTTATACCAGAAAAATAAACAAACACACCCCCAACACAGCAATATCCAGAACACGTGCCCAAGGCATGAGACAGGGCCAGAGAAGATGGGATAGTCAAAGCACTGACCTATCACATCCAGTGAAACCAAATGACACTGCCCTCAGTGTGTCTGTGTTCCTATGCTATGGTACTTGCTTAAGTTCCACATCAGTGAGCTGCACTTCCCCTAATTTTGCAATAGTTTTGCAACTTCTTCTTTCTTTTTATGATAGTAAAATGGTGGCAAAAGCAATGCATGTGGTTGTTTTTTTTTTTTTTTCAAAGACCATCTTATTACACACATGGCACTGAAAAGAGAATCCAAATAGCTCATACTACAGTACATATGCCAGATAATTTTCCCTTCAGTGTGACCACACACTTAAATTACTTTTTTTTTTTGGTTAATTGGCATAGGAAAACAAGAATGACTACAGAAATGCCACAAAGTGTCTATTTTTTTGGATTATAGAAAATATTGTATTTAGATATATTTCCTTGCTTGGAAAAGAAAATCTAGTTCTTGCTTGATAAAGGTGATGCAACAATTAAAGTGTGAGGGAAAGATTTACACTGAGATGCAAATACAAGCTGAAGTCACTACAACTTATCTGATGTGCAATGGCTCATTTGTGTTGGTTGGGTGCTCATAAATCCCACAGTACTCGTTTTATACTTCAGTTTTCCCACCCCCTCTTAAAAAACCCAAATCATCTTCAACAATAAAAAAAACCCTCCAAACATAAGTAGTTAAACAAAACATGCTGCTTTTTTACAGGTAAATTAAGAGACGGTAAATGCACAAGACTCCAACAACCAACCTGGTTTTATGGCACACACATAATTCCATTCATAAAAGTTTGTTTACAGCCATGAAGGATGCAGCCAACCACTTTATGATAAGTAGTAAGACCAAGCACAAAGATCTTCTGACATCTTTAACACTTCCCTTTCAAGACTATGGCCTTGCTCTGCAAGTACCATGTTCAACAGAAATGTGGCAAGGTAAACTCACTTAAGAATGATGGTCTTTCATCTGGGTTTTGTGCCCATCCACTTTCCATCAGTCTTATGACAAGCCCTCGATGAGGAATGTCCATTGATAGACTTCCTTCACTCAAGTCTAGTCTCTGTCCTTGTGACACGCTGTACATTATCTGCAAGGGGTTTATAACTTCTGTCAAAACAGATATTGTGAAGTCATTAGAAATATAAGCAATATGAAGAGTTTACTGTATAGGAGGAACAATTCCATTTGCATACATAGAATTTATAGCTCATCAAAATAAGGTTACATTTCTTGATTAACAAAAAGGTATTCTTAATTTATGAAACAACACTATAATTAAAAAAAAGATACTAAAAAATAGTCTAATTTGAAAGCTATTTCAAAGTGTACTTCAACAAGATTACAAGTTGAATTATTATAAAGTAACCCTTAAAATCAAGTTCCCAGGTTTCATGTTTAACCTCTATGTAAGACAGAAAAAATAAATTAAAGACACAGCCTTACCTTCAAATGGCTGTTTCCTTGACATCACTTCCCATATGATAACTGCATAACTGTTTACAGCATAAAAAGTAAAGAAGATGTTATTTTAAACTACTAACACTTAACAACACAATATGCTCAGCTTTACATTTTATTTAAAACATTTTGCTAAAATGGTCCTGCAAGGACACATGGGACTGACTACAGCCAACTAAAATGTTGACATGAATATATGAAAACTAGCAGTTGACCTCATCTTGAACTAATTAATACTATTAATTACAGACAAGATCCATGGCATATAAACTCCTATTCCAAATCTGTATCAACTTGGCTCTGCTGGTACGTTGTGAATTACATACTTAGAGTTTAAATGTCAGCACACAAAGTGAGCCCCAGAGAGCCAACTGCTCTGTCCTAACTGCAATATTCTGGCATCTTCCCAGCATGGACTGACGTTCCCAAGGGAAGCTGGGTATTAGCAGGGAGGATGGCTTCGATCCACAGCTCTATCCCAACACAGTGTCACAGAGACAGGTAAGGTACAAACTTGCACTTGGGATGCCCACTCCAGCTTCCTCCCTCCCCATACACGCTTTCAACATCTGCAATCTTCTCCACAGGGAGAGATGTCACTTACACACCATTCACTTTCCAGAACAGACTCTTGGGAAGATTGCTCTGAACTAATGTCATGGATTGAACACACATGTGCTTCCTCAGTGATCTTTTCCATTCACACCACATGAGTGGCAAGTGGTTCAGTGAGTACAAATTTGCCCAGCTTTAGTAAACTAGTCACTCTCTTCAACCATCAGGATATATTAGAAAAAGATAACTTTAAACAACTTTGTAATTTAAATAAGGTTAGCTGATTTCATTTAAAAGCAGCATTGAACTCTCAGTACTTCTCTGCAACATTTCCTTACATACTCTACCATATCTGAATGAAGCTCTATTCCATGAAAAGATCCTAATATTAATCACAGCACTGTATTCAAGTATCTGGTTCTGCATTTAGAAAGGACAAACCAGGCTAAACTTTCAGTGCTTCCATAACTTCAGAATACACACAAGGTGCTGACAAGTGTGTATTTCCATATTTTCATTCCAAGTCTTTATAAGCATTGTGGCAGTGTCATTCCAGAAAATAATCACCATGATCAACTGCTGTTAAGGCTTGTTCTCCACCCTTGGTATGAACGTACTGAGCCTCCTTCCTACATCACTAAGAAGTACCAAATTTTGCATACAGGTTACATTTAAGTGCCTTAAAACACTGTACCATCTGACAGCTACCAAGTAAGAATTAAAAAAATGAAGTAAAAACAAATAACTGATGCCTAAAATCAAACTACATAAACTGATTTTTCCTAACTATTTACTCTGTTTACACTTTAACATTCTTCAGTGATAAAGTTTATTCATGTAGCTTTTAAAAAAAGAAGTCCTCCCTGTTAGAAAAGTCTGCTTTTGATGTATTCCTGCAAATCCATGCAATTGGTATAGCAAATAATCCCTTTTGCAGAACTTAAGCTGCTTGAGTGTTGTTTAAACAATTTGTTTCTTTAAGAAAGATCCCTCCTCACAAATTAGCTTCACTATCTCAGGAACACTCAGCTGTGATCAATTAATTTGACATCCAGAAAATATCCTGCTATTTAATAATATCTTTCATTCAGTTTGGAATCTCTCTACAGTTAAAGATTATTTTCTCAGTTCTACAACACTGCAGCATTCCCCTTTACACTATTCCTGTTTTCCTTTCTTATTTCTGCTTTGTAGCATCTCCTTCTGACCATAAGCATGGAACCTCCTGTGTGGCCTTTCTGGTGGTCCTTCACTGCCTCTGCACCTTCATATCTTCCTGCCTTGAACATCTCTCTTTCCAATGTTGTCTCAGTCTCTCTTCTTCTTATGTAATCTCTTTCCTTCCTAATTTATCTGGTTTTTATACCCTTCTGATGTGTTCTCATACTTTCTCCTATTTGGTTGTTATTCCTCTGAAAATATTATTTTCTAAGAAACATTTGTCTTCTTCCTCTTCACCCATTCATTAATCTGCCAGTCACCCTTTCTTTCCCCTCAATACACCATTTTTTCTTTTCAATGTTTTCCTCATCCATATCTTCTCATCAAAAGGTAAAGAAAGCAGGTGTCTTGTCATCTGTAGTCTTTGGACAGGAATGTCAAGGAACTTCACCTACTTCTTAAGGGTAAGGGATAATTAAAGGAAATAGTGCTTCCCTGGAAGTCAGTAGGACCTTCTGAGACTGAGTAATCTCTCACCAAGATATAACCATGTCAGAGATCAGTGAAGGTAAAGGTGGCACCAGAATGATGTGACAATGTGACTTTGTCACAGTGATTGGCCAGTTCATGCCTCCTCAATCTTCCTTTACACATAATTCCTCCCAAAATTCTTCAATCTCTGAGCTCTCCAAACAATTTTAGACCAGCCAACTGTAACTCCAATATCCTCAGAGAGATTTCCTTTTGTTATATGGATCACTACCACTCTATTGACTATTCTATTACTTGTAATCAGGACAACACAAAACTACCACAACTTTCATAAAGTAAAATATTCCTTAACGAGATTACTGTAACTACTTTCTCCAACCCCACTATCCTGTTTTTATCCACCTCCTTTCCAAAAATACAATTTCTTCTTTTCCCCAAGTACATTCCAAAAATTATGTTATTTAATTACACAACTTATTGTTATTTGTGCAGTATGTGCATTGACTTGATGGTGTGAATGGCTTTCTTCTTTCCCTGCATTGTCTGTATGTGCACACTCATTTACAGAAAACAGTAATTTTCACCTATTCCTGAGTCTCAGCTTAATTTTGAAGCATTACACTTGTCACAGCACAAAAGTCATTAAAAACAGCTATCACTCAATTCTTTATTTCCCAATTCATTTAGCCTATATAGCTATGATATTATCATTGAAAATAATAAAATTGCTGAGAATATGCTAAAATCTAAGTTCAGTAAATCATATCTGAGCTCAGATTTCAAGCCCCACTAGAGAACAACAGGAGTTACCTGTAGATATCATGTTTGACACTTGCCCGGGTTTTCTGACTGGGGTTGTAATCCTCAGGTGGCATGTAGATAATTGTCCCTCCTTCCGGCAAGGAGGATTCGCTTCGGGACTGGGACATGGATATGACACGCCATTTGGACATGCCAAAATCTGCAATCTGGAAAGGTCAAATCAGTTGTTCTGAGAAGAAAAACTGGTTTTATCTGCTGACACTTGTTAGAAATTCCTGAAATACACCCAGCAAAAGGGGTCACCCAAAGCTCTTAACCTGACACACAAGAAGTATGTGGTTATCCTAGCAACAGGAAACATCAACTCCAGTCCATAATGCATTCCCAGGTCGTGACTCATGCTGTACCTATAGAGCTGCCCTATCCTGTTCTTTTAAGGAAGGACTCATGAACACTATGGATGAGGAATCTGCTGTAGATAGCTATGTCATATGAAGAAAATCACTTTCTTGTGCTAAAAAAAGCAAACAAAAAATCATTGATTACTTGTAGCTCCCTGGCTGTGAAGAAAGCACGAGTTTAGTATAAATCGTAGTAGTTGTACATAACTCAGCTTGCCAATATCCCAAGGCAGTTTCTCTCACAGAACAATTTTAGGGCACTTCACCTCACTCCCAAAACTATGATGTATTAATCCTGAATTAATAAATTTGATATTCTGAAATTCTGTGCTGCAAAAAAGTTGCAGAATATTTTCTTTACTGTGCACTCTGGGGCCTTGCTCCTTTCTACAGGATACAGTGTACATACATGAAGAAGTAACTGACTTCCCTTTACCTCCTCAGACATTCAGGAGCCAGGGCACCAGATGTCAGATTAGGTTATGAAAAAGGAGAGAGATATTTAGCAGAATGCACCTGCTGGCTGAGCTGCAGTGTCTGGCATACATGGGAAATAAGCAGCCAGCTACCAGCTCTGCACTTGTCCAGCATTTGCACAACAGCAAAAACATTTTCAAGAAAGATGCCTGTGCAAGCACTGTGGCAATTAAGATAACAGAAACAAGCTTTCTGAAGAGCATACATCAAAATCCACAATGAAAAGTAACCTTTCTTCTCTACAACTCACTCTCATCAAGACTTCCTCATTGTAATTGGTCTAAGTCTTGCTCATTCAGTAGATCAGGGACAGCCAGAAGCACCCTGTAAATGATGTTACTTTTATACATATGCAGTATCCCTTCTGTTTGGCATGCATGATAAGCCTTGTTTGCATTTCCTGTCACTGTACTAGTTTACAGAATCTTGCTTCACTTAAAACCCTAAGGACACTCCTTACAGGAGGCAGGGTAGGTATGCAAGAGTTAACCTCTTCCCTTCAAATGCCTCAGCAAAGAAACTGTTCAGATATGATCAGGCAGAGCACCAGGCCACACCAAAGCTGTTAGGGATTAAAATGAGAGTGGATAAAAAAATGACTTGGACTAGCTCCCTGATCAGGTTTATCAGGAAGCTCGAGAGATGGCAATACCAGCACAATTGAGTGGGAGCAAGTATGACCTGCTGAGGGTGTGAGCAGAGACAAAGTCATGTGAGGCACATTGCTGCCAAGAAAAATTTCTGTGCAATGAGGAAAGAAGAAACCAGCAGCAGATCTTTGCACAAAGGACTCACAAGGAGTCAACTTACAGTAGCAACTGAAACATTCACTTTTCAAGTATAAATTTAATGCAAGATATCTCTTATTTCCATTTACTTGAGTAACATATTCTATCAATTATAAAACCAGATCTTTTTAAAATAACATAGAAACAACAAAACAAACTCTTGCAATTATGGAAGCACCTAAACATTTTGTACTTTCAGTCTCTTTTTCACATCATGGAAACAACAAAACAAACTCTTGCAATTATGGAAGCACCTAAACATTTTGTCAGAAGTACTTTCAGGCTCTTTTTCACATCATACTTTAACAGGCAGAATTAAAGTTTTTAACTACTGATACTTCTGCATGTATGTTTGCTTGTTCTAAGGGCTTCCCAAAAGCCACCTTCCAACACAGGAGATTTCGAAGTTTTGCTTTACATGTTCTGTTACTACACCAATAGAACAGATTTGTCCATATTGCATGGTAAGTATCAAACGGAGCATTAACAGTTGAATTTGACCTACTACCTATCAGTAGTGACTTGTCAGAGCATCTCAGGCAGGAACACTTTCTGTTTTCTTCTCAGGAGGGGCCAGATGGTGCAAGCCTTGGAAGGCTGACAAACAAGAGTGTCACCACTACTGAGTACCAGCTACTGCTATAGCAGAAACAGCCTAACTTCTGTCTTCCTGGTCTCTTCAGACAGATAAAATCCACAACTGTGTAACAGAGCTTCCAAAAGAGAAATTCTAAAGTTCTGTCTACAAGGATAAAAGAAAAAATCCACCATACTATTACATCCTCTCTGTACGGCCACAACCTCACCCTTCCTCCTCTACAACAATGAAAACATTTTCACTCATTCTGGATGCTGAAGATGAAATAAGAATGAAATAACCCTACCTTGACATGAAACTCATCATCCAGCAAAATGTTCTGGGTTTTTAAGTCATGGTGCAGCAATGGAGGATTCATGTTGTGCAAATAGTTTACTCCCAGAGCAATTTCATAAAGAATGCGGAATCTCAGGCACCAGGGAATGTCGGGATATACATCTTTCTGCCAAGATAAAACCACAAAATCAGAATATCATCCTCTGTTCTAACAGCACACAAAGACTTATTTTATAAAAAGAAGAAAGTGACTTTGGCAAACAGTAATATTTTAAAACTTACATTACACAAACTCCTTAAAAAGAATTGTAATGGTCATTGAGACTCATTAGCTGTTAAAAGAAACATTATCAAAAAATAGTTATGCAGTGCTGTTTCTATTCCCTAGCATTCATATAGTTATTCATGACTGCTATACATGACATTGAACATTTACTACACTACTCATTCACATGGAAATATGAATAACAGATGAACTTCTGCATGAAACTTGTAACACACAATTTATGAGTCCTACAGAAAGAATGGCAAAAATCATATATGAAACTGACACTGGGGAACAAAAAAAAAAACTGTATTGAAACTATGCACAAAATACTACCTTTATAAATAATAATACAGCAAGAAATATGCAGTAAAACTCAACTGAAGTCTATATTGACACCAATGTCTTTATGAAAAAACACAGCTGAGCTCTGTAAGGCATGAGATGTGTACTGATTAAAGGCAGAGAAGAGACTTGAGTGCTATTGAGACAACTGCAGTAGCAACACTGTTCAGGCCAAACTAATGGGAGCAACTGAGAATTCAGCACAGGAAAAGTTACTCAGAGAATAAGATCTGGAAGAAATAATCATAGCTGTTTATATTAGCAATATTTAGCTTCTATAAACAAAAGTAAAAATTTTCATTCTTTAAGAAATTATTCAAACTCATGAAAAAAATCAATATTTGTATTGGCAGTAATTCAGAAACGCAGACTGAAGCAAGCATAAGCATTTCAGAATCTAATTAGAGGACAACTGAGATTTTTAAAGTCACTGTATGTAATAATTCAACATAAAAACTTGTTATAGGTCACAACATTAAAGGAAAAAGTTTAACAAAACTTAAGTCAGCTGAGTTTAGCTGTGGTTTTGAGATACAGAAGATCTATCTGAGCACAAAAACCACTAGGGATACTGTCTTCTAGCATGAAATATTATAAATAAAATACTTCACTATACTAATTAAGTATGAAAATTGCAATCTACTTGAAGCAGCCAGGTATCATACTTAAAGACCATAAGTACACTTACCCCATGCAGTAGCTGGTTTAATGACCCATTGGTCATGTATTCTGTTACTATCCCCAGAAATTCAGGCTCGTTGCAGATTCCCAAAATTGGCAGTATGTAACTAAACCTGGCTTTGTGTAATATCTCTGCTTCTTTTAGAAGGTGGTTTCTATCACTTAAAGAAAACAAGTAAACAAATAAAAATACATTACCATACCAGTACTATGAAACTCCAAGCAAATGCTGGGGTCACTATCTTCTCTGAATTCCCTATATGCACTACATTTTCACCACTTGATTTCTAACATGCTGCTTTGAGAACAAGACAGTGTAAGACAAATCAGAATCTGCAAATGCAGACAAGAGAGCTTCCCTGGTTTTGTTGTACCACACAAATGTATTTTCATCACACATTTCATCCATGTTTCCAATAAATAAGGATAATGTCAGAACTTCCAGCTTCCACCATTCCTTGTAACCATAATGGTAACAACCATCTGCATTTCTCCCACTTTACTGAACACCTTCAAACCCCAGCTTTTCACTCAAGGCCAATATTTATCTCCTAGAGAGTGGAGATTTTAATATATGTGATTCTCCAACCATTTAAATCTAGTCAACTCTAATGTACGCTAATATAATAGGGGCTAAAGGAATGCACTTTTGACTTCTGAAGGAAAGTGAGCTCCTTTCTGAAGGAAAAGGAACAATTAACTATGTTTTGTTTTCACATAAATTGTTCCCTCAAGCAGCTCCTGCTTTGAATTGCTTTCTGGAAAAAACATCCCCTAGATGCACAGGAAGCAGGAAAAGACCAGCCTCATGATGGGTGCCTTTGCATGCCTGAATTTGACTGTGTGGATCCACTCTGGTACCTCAAAACTCCTCATAAATGTGGATTTGATGCTTCTTTACAAATTCAGGCCTTGCAGCATGTGGATTTTAGAGGGTCAAGTTTTATTTAAGATTGAGTATGATTCCATCCCTGAAAATAGAAACCATTTGGTATGCCTTATATCTCAAATAGTCTTGAAAAAAATGGGTTTGTTGTCAATAAGGATAGTTAGACCATGAAGCATAATTCAGTGAAAAAAGCAGTTAGATCTTAGTGGAGACTGGTACAGATACAAGTACATGACTAGGATATTCAAATCCAGAACATTTACAACACATTGATCCTTTGGTAGTGAGCCAGTCTGGCTCAGAAGCAGCAGGGCTGTGCTGGGGCCAGGGCTATGCCCACCACAATTCGTTCAGCACAGCACTGTGCACAGGGCACCCCCCAAAGCACTCAGGGCAGTCTGGATCCATCAGGGTGGGTTTAGCACGCAAAAAGAAAAGGCTGTCAGGATAGATGAGGAAAAGAGGAAGCCTTGTGAACTAAAGCCTGCAGCTCTTAGCAGCAGGAAATTTTGAATTTGGATATGAAATTAAGGTCCTTTTATCTATGTGATGGAAACTCTAGGAAATGACAGAAGTAAAAAGGCAATCTTTGAAACAAGCACGGGGTGGAAGAGACAAAAAACTCGACACCTCCCTCTCTCCAGAGATGACTAGGTTTGAGAAAGTTTGGGGTTTTCCCAGACAGTAAGGCACATTAGCATGGGATTCAGCTGTGGCTGGGAAACGAATTGCGACATATTGCAGTCTATTCCTGTGCCTGTCAGTCACTTCACCTTTGTCTGCTCCATGCCAGAGGGGCACTGAGTAATGCCTAAATGAGCACATTCCCACAACAGCTTCCAACTGGCTTTGCTCTTTGCCTGGTCACATACCATATTCTGGGATGCACAGCACATGCTTCCCACTTGGGGAATTGATGGCATCATGAACTCATCCCTTTTCCTGACAACACTTACAGGTTGGCATTTTATATTGCCTACTGTACAACCAAGTCTTGCTGCTGAGACTTGGGTATAATGGATTTTTTAGTAGCTTTGAGTCTTCTGACAGCATTTCTGGGCTTTGTGTAATATATGGTGGTGCCTTATCAAGGCTGACCTAGAACAGAGGCTAGACAGAGCTAAAGAATAAAGTAGGTATTTATTAGGAAACCTCAACAGATACACCTTGGGCAGTACAAGAGCCCAGCCAAGGCTACACCCAAGAGGAACCCAACATGGTCACAAAATGGATGACCGGGCACAAAGTCTCACATTTTTATAAGTTCTGGTCTGTTAGCATACTGGAGTTAATTGTCCAATTATAGCTTTAGGTTATGAAGTCTGATCCTTCTTTTTCTCTCTTCAGTCCACATTGTTTATGCTCTTGTGCCTGAAATTTGGGTGGTTGTCCTTGGTTCCAAGCTAGGAAAGGAATTGCTTTGTTTAGCTTCTCCGTGAAGAGAGCTTACCATCCCTTAATATGAAGCTCAGAACATAATAAAGCAGTACAGAATCTGAAACATATAAAAGCTAAAACCTAAGGCATCATGGTAGGTGACTGAATTATTTTGATTACCTCACTTGCACTCTAATCACAATTTCACAGGTTAGATGTCCCACAAATCCAAATTCTTGCAAGGCTAAAAATAGACCTGGTGGTTTCTCCTAGCTGTTCTCTGAGGATAAATGCTGTATTTCCAACTAGCTGGGATCTAAGCAGACATTAAAAAAAATCCCACAACAAAAAATCCCCCACAACACCCATCAGTCCTCTCTCTCTCCCAACTTATCAGAAAACACAACATAACTGAGATTCCATTTCTGGCAAGATTTCAGAGATAAAGTTTATGTATACACAAACCTAGGCAATAAGAGGTGAAAGAGCTTAAAACAACTTGTCTTATATACGAGTATATTGAGTCACAAGACTAGAAGTCTTTCTGAGTGAAGCTATCCTATCTAAAGGTCTAATACCAGATCTAGGAAACCTGAGGCAAAAGCTTGAAGACAGCAAGATATGACTCAGAGGCAGGTTTACAGTCAGGTAGGCTGCAGACAACCTAAGAAGAGGCAAGTTTGCATTGATATGTTAACAAATTGTAACTATGGGGATTGAACAAGACAGTGATGAATGAAAAAGTACAACTTGTTGTGCCCTTACGTGGAGTGACAGCTGCTGTAATAAATATGCTGGCACTTGGGTACCTGGAAAACGGGGAACACAATTGTTACACTGAAAATACCAGTTTTATGGGGGCGTGGGGGAGGTCTACAAGCCTTTTATTTTAAATCAGCTTCCCTCAGTACTATGAGATCTGGGGGAAAATAACAATTTTGCGTGGTCTCACAGAAGCTTCTTGAAGAAGCAATCCCTAGTGGATAGAACAGTATACTCCCGATATTCCTCTCTCTATGTAAACTCCAAATCTACAGTAATCATTGTACTTTAATATCGATCAGATACCTCAGCAAAATGGTTAGCAACCAACAGATCCAGCAAGAAGCCAAACTCTATCAATCCCACCATGAGGAGGGCTCAAGGTGCACAGTGTCAAAGAAAAAAATTCCAAAAGAAAGAACTTAGTGTCTCAGAGACCGAGATCGAAACCACTCCTTTACAATAACAGAAAGAGAGGAAGCTCCGGGGCCGGTCCGTGCTTTCTCCTGGCCCAAGCTGAATCACCCTGGTGGGATCCCCTTTCCCCGCGGAATTAAGGCAAGGCTGCCTACCGAAACACCAGGATGGGATCCACAGACCTCCGAAACCCATCTTCGACCGGCACCTCCACCCTTTCTGGGGGCTGGTTCAGGGAAGGGCGGGCTCGGCCCGGCCCTTGCCCCGGGATGCCCCACGCCGGCGGCCCCCTGCCCACCCCGTTACCTGTCTAGCAGCGGCCCCTGCAGGCATTTGAGGGCCACCGGGACCCTCCAGTCGGCGTGGCGGGCGGCGGACACGGTCCCGTAAGCGCCCCGGCTGATAAAACGCAAGTCCGGGAGTTTGCTGGAGGGGATGGAGGGGAGGCCGTAGCTGAGGGCGCCCGCCCGGCCCCCACCGCCATCCCCGCCGCTCATGCTGGCACTCCGCGGGGCTCAGCGGGGCCCGGAGCGCCGCTCCTCTGGCCCCACTTCCTCGCTCCCCGCCGGCAGCTCACTGCCCCGCCTGCTCCCCAGTTGGCCAGCGCTTCTCTCCTCCTTCCACCCCACCGACGAGCCACTTCCTCACGGAAAAAGCGTCCCACGGTTCGCGGGTCGGGGAAGGCGGAGCAGCCGCGATGGGAGGAGCGAGCCGGGGGAGCGCGGTGCCGGCGTGCCCCGAGAGCCGCGCCGGGGCCGCGGCCTCGCCCTTGGGCAGCCGCGGGAGCGCTGTGGCGGGCCGCGTCCCTCGGCCCTGGATGGAGCATCCCCCCATCCCGCCCGAAGGAGCGTCCCCCCATCCCGCCCGAAGGAGCGTCCCCTGCGCTGCACAGGAGGATCCATCACCCTCCGTCCCGGGCGCGGGCGAGTTCTGCGCTCGAAAAATGATGCAGGATGCCAGAGCCGAGCGCAGATCGCCGCAGTGAATGGTTCACTGCATAGACTCATAGAATGATGTGGGTTGGAAGGGGCCTTAAAGATCATGTAGTCCCAACTCCTCTGCCAGGACAGGACACACCTCCACTAGACCAGGTTGCTCAGAGCCCCATCCGGTGTGTACTCATTGCTCAAGCAAGGTGAGAAAAGCTTTGTCTCATGCAGTCGCTTATCTCCTCCGTGCTTGTTCTAGGAAGATTTTTCAGGGTAGCGGCATTTCAAAAAGACGATTTCGAAATTTCCAGTAAGTGCAAGTTCACCCTTGCCCGTGCTCATAGCGAGCTGCCTATGCTGATACACGGATGTATTTATGAGAGCTTTATGTGAAGGTTGCGTAGGAAGCTTTTCTAAAGCCTGTTCACCAAGCCAAGTTCTCACAGACTAACAAAGTAATTTAACTTAAAGGTAGCGATTTGTAGCTTTACACAAGGAGTGACACTTCCACAGGATGAAATAAAGATAAACAGAGCCACTCATTAATTTAACTTAAAGGTAGCGATTTGTAGCTTTCCACAAGGAGTGACACTTCCACAGGAAATAAAGATAAACAGAGCCACTCGTGTGTGGATCACGAGCTAGGTGCCTGTGGCTTTTCGCCTCTCTTTTCTCCCACTTATGGATATGGACAATGAGAATAGAATGAGCAAAAGACCTAAGTTTTCAAGCTACAATATGTTCAATATTTCACAGCATTCATTTTAAGACATGGCAACAACTTTTCAGCTCTATCTAGGTCCTAGCACTTTAGCTTTATGACTTTTCCAATTTTCTTGTATCTTTGATGATTTATATCCTCCAAATGCTTCAGCATTATGAACGTATGAACAACCATGTAAAGCAACTAGTGACTTACTCTACTTTCATTTTTTAGCTACTTACTCTACTTTCAGTTTTCATTTAGTCTGTGTCCTTTAGACACACTAGGTGGTTTCCCAAAACTGTAATCTTGAGGCAATGTTTGCAATACGCAAGTTTTGGGTATCTGTTTATGCATATCCCTCTCTGTATTAACCATGTTGATAGTACCATTAGTCATACAATTTTAAATTTGGTGTATAAGGAAGATTTTGTTTCCAAAAGAAAATTATATACAAAGGACAATTACCATGAGCTTGCATTATAAAACCACTGTGTAGATACATACTTACAGTCTTTGCCATTAAAATGTCACTACACTGAGGATTTATTTGTTCATCTTGTTACTGTGTTGATTTAATGTATATTTATGGTGTTAAGTACACTGACTTAAACTCCAGGAAAATTATTGTAATTCTAAAAGTGGATGTGGAGGCAGCACTGTTGGAGCAATGCCATGCTTCTCTTGTCATGCCTGTTCCAGGTAGTGTTCCTGGAGCTGTAGTCCTTGTGACACCCCAAACCCTAACCCCAACCCTAATGGCAGCTTGGGGGCGAGGCTGAGGTCCTAAGGTAGATTAAACTTTTGATAAAACTAAAGTTTTTGTTAAATACAGTTCCTAATTATAGAAACAGTATTTATAGCATGTGGCAGATAAATAGCTTCCTGTGGTTTACTTCTTTGAGATTTTAACTGGTGAGTTTTCCCACTCAGTCCTTTTCATTTTTAAGTGTTGGATCTGACTTGTTCTTTCACATGGAAATTTCCTGAAGGTCCTCACTGATAATGGGGTATGTGAAGTCCACAGCAAAGAGGATACTTTTTCTCTGTGTGGTATTCATACTGGTTTGATTAGTGTTGTCAGGACTGTTATTTGCTTGAATTTAAACCGCAAAAAAATGGTTCTGAAAGTGTGAAAGCTGTGGTGATGGGCTTAGTCTTCCTTCAGCTTGTGAAATCTAGGCGGGCAGCTAGCTACTATGTGATCTGTACATCATGATGCTGACTTGTAAAACACTTTCCATTCCTTGTATCTCTGTAATAGATCAAGTAAAATAACAACTGAAATTAAACACACTTTCCAGACTGAGGTGGTATTTGCTTTTTGACATTCTTCCCTGTGGGCAGCATAGTCTGGAAAAAGCTTTTACATTTCTACTGTGAACAGGTATTCACATTGATGTTGAGAAGAAGGTATAAAGTACATATCTCTCCCTGTGCATCTACACCTGAAAACCAGGCCTCTTACACATAGATATACATACACCCTTTTACAGTCATGTGTATGTTTTAAAAAATTCACACTACCTGCATGTCTTTACTAGTATAAAGACTTTCTTTTTTCAGTTTGTTTCAGTCTTGTCCCTCCACCAAAAAATTTTAGTGCCTTCATTTTTATGGATATTAAGCACCAACATACACCCTTTTACAGTCATGTGTATGTTTAAAAAAATTCACACTACCTACATGTCTTTACTAGTATTTTTTTTTTTGCAGTTGTGGATATTAAGCACCAAATCTAGTTGTGTTTTTTTTTTTTTTTTTTTTTTTTTTTTTTTTTTTTTTTTTTTTCGCAGTTCACAGGTTAACTATGTTTCCACAATGGCAGGAATCTCTTTGCTGTCAAGACAAGGTGTTCAGATTGAAAAAAGCTATGGTTGCATGATGATGATTTTATATCTCAAACAACTTTACCATATTTTTGCTGTTGGTCTTAAACATGACATGTGTGGATGTATATCTATGTATATGAGGCCTGTTACCTACTAAATATTCTCAAAAATTTGTGGAAATGGCACTTTTTTTCCCTTAACACTTGATAGTCTCTGATTCTTAGTTGTGTCTTTGGAGCTGCATAAAAGACCCTGTTTTAGAAAATGAGTTTTCATTCAATAATCACAGTGCCTTTGTCCCTGCTTTTTACTTTGTGGGATTTTTTTTAAGCTTTTACATTAAAAAAATGAGGGATATTCATTATAAAAGCCTTTTTAAAAGGAATATTTTGCCTGGATATTTTGTACTATCCACATTGCAGGAATGAAGGACTTTGGTAGTAACCTCTTCAATTGTGTTTGGTCTTACTGAAGTAAGTATTTTTTTCTGAGATAATGCATCAGGTGCTTAGATTCTGGCTGAGATCCTGTTTTGCCTGCTGTCACACTGGCAGTGTAATGATACACTTGCTCAGTTCTATTGGTAATGAGTGCTACAACCATGGAAACCAACAGCCTTTGAAATCCTCTGTGTATTCTCCTGCCAGCCTCGACCAACCTTCTTTGTTAGCATGTGCCACACTCTAGGTGGGCTGTTCCTGAGCATCTGGGCTCTTTTGGAAGTTGTTACCTATGGTTTTAGATGTCTGTTGACACAATTTTATATTAAGAAAGCTGCATGAAAGTACTTGTATCCAGCTATTACAACATGTTGACACTATCCAGCTGACTGAATCAAGGAACAGAGCTGCTGAGAGCTTTCCTAGCAGTTTGGAGGGAGGGAGGGAGGGAGGGAG